GAGGCATGCACTACCTACCAACCACTAAGATTCACCCACAGCCCACCAACTCCACCCACCCACCCCAGATACACATCGACAACCACCGCGCTTATCCGCATTGGGAATTCAAATCACCTTTCCCTCCCTCCCCAATCTCCACTCTCTCCCTCTTCTCCATCCTCCACTCTCTCCCTTTTTAAAAATCCTTTATATTAAGTTCACTTGCTTGCTTGCTTACGACCGTGCAAATCTTTCGGTAGTTTTTTAACCCACTTCCCGGGATCCAATCGAGCTGACATTTTCCACACAGACTCGTTGTGCGTGATAATTAATGTTCGTAAAAAAAAATTCTCCAAAATTTTACACTTTTTATGACAAAAATATTATATTTAATTACCAATTGCTTAATGGTGCCATGCAATCATCTGACCCATAGGTGGCAGCCATCTCAAGCCAGAGGACGAGAGGACTCTAGCCACCACGCATATAAAGGATTTATAGTGACAAACTTGGTTTTTACGGGTTATACTTGTCCTTTGTTACGATCAGAAGAATCAGAAAGATGCTCGGTTTTTCGGCACTTTGCTTCGTTCATCATGTCGTTTTTTTTTGTTTGCTTTTCTGCCCCGTTTTAAATCAAATATATTACACGATTTCCCTGTGTTACATGAATCCCATTGTGTGCCACTGTGTTCATAGACACCAACAAGAAAAAATCACCCACAAACACACTTAACCAGATCACCTGCATTCGTCACATTACACAAAGCACCCTCGGTAGTCTCTCTCTCTCTCTGTTCACAAAGGTTCCAGTGCCTGACACCATAGCAATAATTGAAGAATTAGTCCAACATGGACTGAACCCTGATGTCCCTGCTCTGGTTAGGCACTGCCTCACCACCAACACTTACTTCACCTGGAATGGTACCTTCTACAAACAAAATGAGGGCACCCCTATGGGTCCCCCCTTGTCACCAGTGAAAGCCAATGTTTTCATGGAGAAATTTGAAACAGACGCCATCCAGACATCCACTCTGCGTCCTTCCCTGTGGAAGAGATACGTGAATGATACTTTCGTCATTTGGCCACATGGCCTCCCAGCACTGAACCAATGTCTAGATCAAATCAACTCCATGCACCCATCCATCATATTCACCATGGAAGTGGACAACGATGGTAAGCTACTATTCCTGGATGTTTTGTTTCAGAGGAGACGAAATGGCTCTTTGGGACATTCTGTTTACAGGAAGGCCACCCACACAGATTCCTACCTGAAACCTGATTCCGACCACCATCCGGCACAAAAGAATTCCCTCATCAAAACACTATACCATAGGGCCCACTGCATCTCTGACCAAAAACACCTGGCCAGTGAATTGGAACATGTACATCTTGCCCTCAAGATGAACGGATACTCGGACCGTGCTATCCACGAGGCTGTTTCTCCCACCGTGGAGATCAAGAACATTACGTTGCCATACATAGCAGGTGTGACCAAACATATTTCCAAAATTCTAAACAAACACAAGATCTATGTCCGATTCAGTACAGTACACAAGGTCTGTGATCTGATCCCATCCGTAAAGGATGTCATTCCTGACTTACAGTACCCTGGTGTCTACAAACTGAGTTGCACTTGTGGGGATTGTTATATCGGGGAAACGAAACGACACATTTATGATCGCATTCGCGAGCACAAGTCGGATTTGAAACATGGTAGAACGAATTCTTCGGCCGTAGCTGACCACTGTTGTAATACTGCTGGCTCTCATGACATTGTGTTCTCCAATACCAAGGTACTCTGTAAACCTCCAGGTTACTACCATATAATTGTCCATGAAGCCATCCAGATATACAAACATAGACGTAACTTCAACCGAGATGATGTATTCAGATTGAGCAATCATTGGAAGCATGTAATTAACCAAGCTCAATTTTAGCTGCCGTGCAGTTTACTACTAGACAGCCAGTTTATATGTATTCTTATATCCATTTTCCCAGCTTTACGCACTACCATCACCATTACCACACGTTGTTTTCGAGCGTGAAAGTTTAGCTTAAGCTTTTCTAATTTTCCAGATATACAAACGTAGATATAACTTCAATCGAGATGGCGATTCAAATTGAGCAATCAGTGGAAGGATGTAATTAACCAAGTTTAGAATTTAGCTGCCGTGCAGTTTACTGCTAAACAGCCAGTTTATATTTACTCTCATAATCATATCCATATTAATTCTCATAATGTTACAGTCATATCCAGCCTGATACACCACCATCACTAAGACATTTTGATTTACAACAGTGTTTCATTCCCATTCGCCATTCATCGTACTGGCACGTACATTTATTGTACAAGCACCAAGATGGTTATCTCCCCCCCCCCACCTCACTAGCTCCTCCCTGCCGAGCACCCGACATAACAACACGTGTCTCTGAATAACTCTCTTCATACGCGACAGCAATTTTACTGGAGCAGTTACACCTGATGACAGAGGCTTGTGTTGCTTCCGAAATGTCGTGAGTTAATTTATTTTAATTTTTTACCTACGTGACTTTACCGAAAAAAACAAAGAGTGTGGATATATGTTCTGGAGAAAAGATATTTCTCAAGCACTGTGCTACTGTTGAAGCTATTTCATCATTATTGATTGAAACAAAGATCCCTTTGCATCAAACAAACCCTCCTTAGTTTTGCGCCTACCGTTCTGCCTCCCTAATGAGAAGAAAAGTGTCGAGCTAGAGTCCAGATCCAGGGTATTTTAAAACGAGAGTGTACAAATGCCCCTTTTTCCTTTTCTTTCTCCAAACCTTGTAGATATTCCAGGGTTTTCACATGTCCCTGTAGTAGGCCTGGATTGTACCCCCTATTCCACCTTTGTTCTACATTATGGACCCTGCTCTCAAGCTCACACATTTCCTGGTCAATGTTTTGTGTTTCCCAAGGCATACGACTGACAGTTTTTTTTAAATGTGTACTTTCCCCTCTGTCCCATCATTGTGCTAGATTATTAAAAACGATCTTTCTTTCCCTGCCACTCCACCCAGAACACCCCAAAAAGATGAGTGAAGGTGGTGTCATGCAAAAGGGCATTATTGAAATGGCAGTATGCCGATCCCTTTGGGACTCCTCGTATTTTCATTTGGAGTAGTATAAAGTGATGATCCGCCAGTGGTGCAGCTTAAATTCAGGATGACACTGCACTATTTTCAAGGTCAATCTTTAACTGCGATAATGGTTCTTGTAAAGGTGAAACCTTGCCGGTTTGGATGCTATGTCCACCACACGTGTACCAGATTGTATGTGCGGCACATCATTGATGGGTGTGTAGTGAGTTCAACTGAGTCGCAGACTTCCACTTGGAGGCAGCGCATTAGTTTAGTTCCAACACACGGGGTAAACTCTCCCCTTAACAGAATAACAACCTCGGGTGGTGACCACCCGGCTAACTACATTAGTTACCACGTAACTGTTAACTACGGACCCGGGATCAACAGCATACTTCCCGAGTCCACGTGCTGGAAGACTCGCAGAACGGGGATCGTAGACTAAGGGCTTCTTTCCCGGGATGAACAACCACGATGCCTCTCGGGACTCGGCTCTTATTCTCTGCGGTGTGGCCAGCTCCACCCTTGGCCACGTCCCCCTTCCAGAACCATCGGGAAGGACCTGGGTCCCAATCACGTGACCCCCCTAACCCCCTCTTGGGGGCCCCCCTGTCATCTTAACCGGTCGCGTGTCCTCCCGGGTCAACCAGAGTGCCGTGGCCTTACACGACCTTCCCCTTAGGTGGGCACACACACACACTGTCCTGTCGGGACGGCACTGCACCTACAGCATGGTGAGTGACATCCAGTGATGTTACTCATCACACACCGTGCCACTCTAGGGCCGGTACTGCACCCAAAGCATGGTGACATCCAGCGATGTCACTACAGGTGTATGAATGTCAATGTGGAGAGAAATGTCGATTTAAAGCTTTCATGACTGCAGGGATTCATCTTCTTGGTTCTTTCGGTAAAGTCACGTAGAAGGGACTTTACCTTTTACGTGACTTTACCGAAAGAACCAAGAAGAGAGAAATGTCATTAAGTTTGATTGTTACCCTGAGGGCTGTCTCTCTCTCCCCCCCGTGTCTCTCTCTTCCCCCGGTGTCTCTCTCTCCCCCCCGTGTCTCTCTCTTCCCCCGGTGTCTCTCTCTCCCCAAGTGTCTCTCTCTTCCCCCCGTGTCTCTTTCTCCCCGTGTCTCTCTCCCCGTATCTGTCTCACCGTCTCTCTCTCTCCCAGTGTCTTTCTCCCCGTGTCTGTCTCCCCGTGTATCTGTGTCTCTCTACCCGTGTTTCTCTGAGGAAAAAGATGCTGGAAGGTGACACTGATGGCTGCTCTGTGCTTCCAGTGTTCAGGGGCCTGTTTAAGGCGCGGCTCCGGCTGGAGCACGCGTACCACACACATGTCGGTGATGTGCACGTCTTCTTCGAACGCTGGGTGGCCGGACAAGCCCCTCTCTGTACCAGCGTGGACGGCACCCTCGTGTTCACCATGGCATGCGCCATGACCACCACCACGTGGCTTTTATTTCGTGTTGTGCGCGGTGCATTAAGCGCCACAGAGCGTCGATTTGTAGCGTTTATTTATTTGTTTGCTGGTGACTGCGTATTTCATATTGGAATCGCCTCCAGTGCTGTTGCTGCTGGCGGCAATAAAAGTTTTTTTTCAAAGTCAAAAGTCTCCCCGTGTCTCTCTCCCCGTGTCTCTCTCCCCGTGTCTCTCTCTCCCCGTGTCTCTCCCCCCCGTGTCTCTCCGTGTCTCTCTCCCTGTGTCTCTCCGTGTCTTTCTCCCCGTGTCTCTCTCCCCGTGTCTTTCTCCCCGTGTCTCTCTCCCCGTGTCTCTCTACCCGTGTCTCTGTGTCTCTCTCCCCGTGTCTCTGTGTCTCTCTCCCCGTGTCTCTGTGTCTCTCTCCCCGTGTCTCTGTGTCTCTCTCCCCGTGTCTCCCTCACCGCCCGGAGCCAATCACCATCGGGCGGAACTAAACCTCCTCGGAACCTAAAAAATCGCGCGGGCGTTCAGCTGCGCCGCGTTTCCTGCGGACTCGGACCCTTGACTCTGGGACAAGATGGCGGCTCCCTGTGAGTAGTGACCCCGGCGACTTTAACTCAGGGAACGACTCAGAGAGAGACTTAGGGGACGACTCGGAGAGAGACTCAAAGAACGACTCAGGGAACGACTCAGAGAGAGACTCAAAGAGAGACTCAAAGAATGACTCAGGGAACGAATCAGAGAGAGACTCAAAGAACGACTCAGGGAACGACTCGGAGAGAGACTCAAAGAACGACTCAGGGAACGACTCGGAGAGAGACTCTGGGAACGACTCAGGGAACGACTCAGAGAGAGCCTCAGATAGAGACTCAGTGAACGACTCAGTGAACGACTCGGGGAACGAATTGGAACGATTCAGAGACTCAGAGAGTGACTCGGGGAACGACTCAGAGAATTACTCATTCAGAGGACGACTCGGAGAACGATTCAGAGAGAGAGAGACTCAGGGGACGACTCAGAGAGAGACTTAGGGGACGACTCAGGGGACGACTCAGGGGGCGACTCAGGGAACGACTCAGGGAACGACTCAGGGAACGAAACGGAGAACGACTCGGAGGACAACACGACCACACCACAGATAACTCAGAACCACATGGCCACTACAGTTACGCAATGACGCAGTTAGTCACAGTCACAACACCAGTCGCATTAGCACAGAAAGTCACACGGAGACCACAATCACACAGACACCACAGACACAGACAAAGATCCCCCGTATAGCCTTAGACTGTAGAGGCAAGTGCTGTTAGCGAGCACCTATGAAGGCCGGAACGGCACACGAGGGGGTGGGTGGCCAGCATCACGCCCAGCCGCCTTTGTCTCCCCAGTGGCGATGTTTACACACCGCACCAGGTACTCATTTGAGGCTGAGCCGACCTAGGGGAGGCCCGGAATTGGTTCAGATAATCGTCACTGGGTGTTTGCCGTGAGCGGGAATCGAACCCGGGTCGCCAGGTTCGTAGCACAGCGCGCTAACCGCTACACTACCGCCCCACAGAGACCACCGTCACACCGTCACACCCTCGCCACATCGTTAGCTCGGATGCAGGCTCCACGGCTTCGACTGCGTTCTGCATCCCAGTTGCCTTCATCGCCTCCCTCAGTTCTGCCACTCGCACGGCCCTGTGAAGCCACTGTGATGTCACCTAATCTCCCCCGCTCCCTGTCTCTCTCCTCTCTCTTCTCTCCCTGTCTCTCCTCTCCCCATCCTCGTCTCCCCGTGTCCCCTGTCCCTCCCTGTCTCCCCATATCCCCGTGTCTCTGTCTCCATGTGTTCCTGTGTGTTTGTGTCTCCCCTCCAGTGCTCCGCGCTGTCCGTGCTGCTGCTGCTGCCACCCCTTCGTCTCTGTGGTGAGAGGCGCTTTCGGGCCACTCGGCGGTGAACGTCAGAGCCTGGGGGGGGGGGCTGGCTGGGGGGCAAGGGGGTGGGTGTGTATGTTGATGTGTGTACGTGTGTACATGTGTCCGGAAAAAACAACCTCCTGCCTCCTCGGTGGTGCCGGACGTTAACGATGTGGTGAATGCGTGCAATGCCATGGAGGGAAGGCCAATTCTATTCGGCTTTTCCCCTCTTGCAGCCACCACAGCCGCCATTGGGGGCTCTGGATGGATGCGAGGGGGTGGTAACCCCTCCACCTTCAATACATGTACCACTAAAACACGTGCTAAAAATCCAACTAAGCTTGTGCCGGAGGCCTTGGGGGCGGGGGGGGGACAGGCGTCTATGACGTCTCCTGGCCAAAACCCATTTGGCAGAACCAGGAATCTGAATCCTTACCCTCGGGGTTCCTCCAGAAATAGCAAAAAGTCACTGCGAGTGGCCACGTGGAATGTTCAAACGCTGGCTGTGGATGTGAGGCTGCCACTCCTCTGTCGGGAGCTGGACCAGTACTACCTGGATCTTTGCATTATTCAGGAGGTCTGGTGGACTGGCTCTGGTTCCAGTCATCATGAGAGGTGGATAGTACTCTACTCGGGGCAGAAGACTGCCAAACAACAGGGAGTGGCTCTTTCTGAACAAAAGAATGAAGGGAGTGTGGGAGCGTGACTTTGAGGTGTAGGAAGCTGTACGCCCCAGGCTACTGTGGGCTCACCTTCCCTTCAACCAGATGCGAGGTGAGGTGGTGGTTACTTATACCCTCACCAAAGATGAACTTCACTTGAGGGATGCAGGCAAGGTCGATGATTCAGATGCCTTCTATGACTTGTCAGGTGCTAGCTAAAGTGGCTCCTCGGGATAGAGTCATCTTGTTGGGTGACTTTAATGCCAGAATGGGTCATGATTCTGGCACCTGGGCTGGAGTAATTGGAAGGAATGGGCCAGATCAGCTCAATAACAATGGTAGGAGGCTGCTAAACTTCTGTTCACACCATGAACTTGTAATTACCAACACACTGTTCTGGCATCGCCACATCCACACGACATCATGGATGCATGGCGGGTCCAAGCAAGAACATCTGGTGGACTATATAGTGATGGAACACCAGGACCTACCGTGGAGCTGATCTGCCCACTGACCATCGACTTGTCATCTGTAAGATGCCTGCCATTCTTCCACTCCGGTGGTGATTGTACATCCAGGACCCCATTCAAACCCACAGCGGCCTGATCTCAGCTAGCTGAAGAAGCTCTCTCTGGTGTGGACCAATCAGTTTCAAAGACAATGCATATATTATCAGAGTATGTTATTAGTTTGCATTCTGACCACAAGTATTGTGGTTAACGCACACATGATTCCCTTTGAAATGTTTCATTTCGGTGTTTTAACATCGTAACACCTGTTTTGTTGCCAGAAAAAAAGGGGAAAACCTCTTCTCATGTTTTGGTACACTGGCAAAGGAGGTCCCATGATGATTGCAAGAAGTCGTCACCCCCTGTGAGTGGTTGGCTGAATTGCGATCGGGTGAGGAAGTACAAAAGGCGACCCAGAGCCTGAGACCAGGAAAGGTGCCAAGCAGAGATGATCTCCCAAGTGAAATGCTGATGGAGGGTGGCGTTTGTGCGCAGACTGCCCCATATGACAGTCTGGACCACTGGATGGGTTCCGTAGGGTTGGAATGATGCCCTGGTGGTCCCCATCTTTAAAAAGGGGGACCACACAGACTGTAACAGCTACAGGGGCATCTCCCTCCTCAGTGTGCCCGGAAAGGTCCTGGAAAGGATTATTCAACATCGCCTTGCCAGGAACCTTGAGGAGAGGCTTGCGGAGCCCCAATGTGGTTTCAGGAAAGGGCGGTCCTGTACAAATGCCATATTATCTGTTCTTCTACGATAGCCGAGGTGTAGGGAATTCCAACAGGACCTACATATCTGTATTTTGACCTGGTTAAGGCCTATGATACCATCAATAGGGCTGGGCTTTATGTTGTTTATCGTGCTTTCGGAGTCACTCACTCTCTGCTCAAAATAAGGATTATTCAACATTACCTTGCAAGGCATGCTAAGGAGAGGCTTGCGGGACCCCAATGTGGTTTGAAGCCAGGGCAGTCCTGCACAGATGCTATATTTTTTGTCCGTCTGGTACAACAGATGTGTAGGGAATTCCAACAGGACCTACATCTCTGCTTTATTGACATGGTCAAGGCCTATGATACCATACCTAGGCGTGGACTCTCATGATGGTGGGCAGATGTTCGTAAAACTATGTGGCGATTCCCTGTTCACATTGGTGTGCGAGAAGGATTATTTAAACTTTTTTTCTGCCATGGAGTTCATGAAGCCTTCTATGGCCGTACCGGAGGAATCTCCATCGAGTACAGATACAACGGGAGGCTGATCGATGCCTGGGTGCAGTCAAGGGATAGCTTCCGTGTTGGTCAACTATGTTATGTATGCTGATGATCTGGTGAATACTGCTCACTTCGAGAAGGAATTGCAGGCGCTGTTACTGAACCTGGAGCATGCCATTAAGAGGTGGGGCCTTACTATCAGACCCACCAAAACTAAGCACCTGCCTGAGTATGTTGTGCCATCAATCACTCCACCCCTCAGCTCCCCATTGGTGATGGAGCAGTTGTGGAGAGATTGAAGCATTTTCCATACCTGGGCAGCATACTTATGACCAACTCAGGTTTGACAGCAAATGTTTCAATCTGAATCAGTTGGACGGAATTATATTTTCATCGGCTGCGCAATGCTGTCTAGAAGCTCCCTGGTCTGTCGCTCTGCACAAATCTTTGGGTTTTCTCGGCCACAGTCATGCCCTTTCTTCTATACGCTTGCGAAACGTGGACTCAACCTAGTGGAACATCTTCGTTAGTTATAAACATTTGGGCTTTCATGCCTACAATCCATCCTGAGTTTAACCAGGCTGTATTGTGTGAGGAGCTCACAATGAAAAAAAAAATATGGACAAAGTCCCATCGGTCAGCTCCTCCGGCAGGCAAGGCTGCATTGGCTGGGTCATGTAGCTCACATGCCCAGCCACCGCATGCCTAAACAGCTTTTGTTTTGCCAGATAGAGGGAGCTAAATGGGCGCGGCACAGGCGAGAGAGCAGATGGAGTGATGTGGCACAAGAGGATGTGTAGCTGAGTGGACTTGCCGATGACTGGTACCAGTGGTGTCAAAATTGGCCTCTGTGGAGGAGGCTCGTGAAGGATGCTGCTGGGCAGTTGGAGGCAGTCGCCCTCCAGCAACAACGCAGGGCAGCAGAGCGACACTCACAACAACGAGCGGAGTGCCGGGCGGATAAAACACAGCAAGTTGGCACTGTCAGGGGCACAGGTGGTGCATCAGCCAGTCATCTCAGTCAATCAACCCATGGCAACTGCAGGGTCTGTTCCGTGACCTCCTGCCAACGGGCGTTCGACATTTCACATGGCCTTAACGTGCACTTAACCTGGCACAAGTTCCGTAGTGATGTCACTGCCACCTAAGCTCGAATGGTGGTTGTTGTGTGTGTGTGTGTCCGTGCATGTGTGTACGCTGATGCCTACGTGCGTGTACACGCCGGCCTTCATAGTTGCTACTCGCTAACACCACTTGCCGCAACAGTCTATATGGGGGATCTTTATCTTTGTGCGTGTGCAGGCATGCTCCGGGCATGCGTGGGGCCGGCTCGTTGGCGTCACTGCCTCCGGCCACCGTCCCCTCGAGCCGCGGGGAGTTTGTGGTGACTAAGCTTGACGACCTCGTCAACTGGGCCCGCAGGGTGTGCCACTCACCCACTCACTACTACACTACACACTAAACTACTACACAGTCCCTCCAGAAAAACGCGGAGTTTTTTGGTGATTGTTGCGGGCAAAAATCGTTGATTATGCGGCACGTTTTCTTAAAAAATGCGATGGAATATGCGGGATATTTATGCAATTTTATGCGATTAAATTGCGGGAACTTGCAAAAATTGCGGGAACTTGCAAAAATTGCGGGAACTTGCAAAAACTGCGGTTTGATGAAAAAGAGAAAAAAAAGTGATTCCCCCAACACCCTATTCACTAGGCTACTACTTTAATGTAAAGAGTCATTTCTTATTACTTCCTATGATAAGCAAGCATACTACATCACAGAAAGTGCTGGGAATATTTAAGTTCTCATCTTGTTTTATTTCAGACCTTAACAAACAGATGGCTCAAACTTACAAAACATTGAGTCGAACAAGTTCTGTAGCTTTACAAAATGAATATGCTACAACTTCTGTAAAAATGAATAAATAAAATATTAAAAAATAAAATGTGTGCTTCCTGTTTTACAGAGGTAGCTATACAAAACAGACATCTTCTGTTAAAATAAGTGTTTTCAGTGCACAGTAACGTAAGCAATACAGTAACAGTACAGTCTTACAGTAATGTAAATTTACATACTACTAACAAAAAAGTGCAATCTTACAACTGTAAAGTTGCATAAACTCCTGAATAAAACTAACTACGTAGCCTCTAACACTTCATAACGTTCCCATGGCAACAGGGGAAATGGCTGCGCTTGTGTGAAGTAAACGCAACATTTTTCAACTTTCTGCTAAGATATATGTGACTTTTTGCAACGAAAATGCGGGGATTATGAAATCATGCAAGCCCGCATATTTTGCGCGCGGAAATCTGCAATTTATGCGGCAAAAGTGCGGCGTATTTGAAAAAACGTGCCCCCCGCATAAATATGCGGACTTTGGCTGATTTTGCGTGGAATCTTGCGATCGCATAATCGCGTTTTTCTGGAGGGACTGACTACACTAATACACTTCACACTAAACTATACACTACTATACGCTACACTATGCACCACTACACTACTATACACTACTACACTATACACTACATTACTACACTATACACTACACTGCACTACTACACACTACACTACTATACACTACTGTACTACACTATACACTACATTACTGTACACGACACGATACACTACTCGACACTACTCCACTCACTACTACACTATACACTACTATACTATACACTACTATACTATACACTACTAGACTATACACTACACTATACACTACTATACTATACACTACTCTATACTATACACTACACTATACACTACACTATACACTACACTATACACTACTATATTATACACTACTATACACTACACTATACACTACACGAGTATACAGTACTATACACTAAAAAACAACACTACTACACTATACACTACACAAGTATACACTACACTACTATACACTACACTATACACTACTCCACTCACTACTACACTATACACTACTATACTATACACTACTATACTATACACTACTACACTATACACTACACTATACACTACTATACTATACACTACTATACACTACACTATACACTACACTAATACACTTTACACTACACTATGCACTACTACACTACATTACTACACTATACATACACTACATTACTACACTATACACTACACTATACACTACTACACACTACTATCCACTACACTACACACTACGATACACTACACTATACACTACTACGGCTGCCCGTCTGGCTACGAACCTGGCAGCCCGAGTTCAAGTCATGCTCACGGCCAACACCGGCGGCGATTATCGACTCAGCCTCAAATCAGTACCTGATGCGATGTGTAACCATGGCCACTAGGAAGAGAAACGTGGCTGGGCGTCGTGTTGGCCACCCACGCCCCTCTTGTGCCGTACCGGCCTTCATAGCTGCTTGCTAACAGCACTTGTCCCTACAGTCTATTAAGGCTATATTGGGGATCTTTGTCTTCTTCTATCTGAATACCTGTGTATGTGTGTGTACGTTTGTGTATATGTTTGTACGTGTGTGTACTTTCTTACAGAGCTCACTATGGCCCATGACGTTTGGCCTGGCGTGCTGTGCGGTGGAGATGATGCACATGGCCGCCCCGCGCTACGACATGGACCGGTTTGGCGTCGTGTTCCGTGCGTCCCCGCGCCAGGCGGATGTCATGATCGTAGCCGGGACACTCACCAACAAGATGGCGCCTGCCCTGCGCAAGGTACGCACGAGTGGGGGGGACGATGTGACGGGGAAACGCACGGGGAGAGATGTGGGGAGACGCGGCGTGGGGACGCGGGGAGAGACGCGGGGAGACGCGGCGTGGAGACGCGGGGAAACGCACGGGGAGAGACGTGGGGAGACGCGGCGTGGGGATGCGGGGAGAGACACAGGGAGACGCGGGGAGAAACAGGGAGACACGGGGAGAGACATGAGGAGATGCACGCGGAGACGCGACGGGGAGAGGCATGGGGAGACACGGGGAGAGACACGGGGAGATGTGGGGAGAGACGCAGGGAGACACGGGAAGAGGCGGGGAGAGACATGGGGGGAGACGCACGGGGGGAGATGAAGAGACACGGAGACACGGGGAGACACGGAGAGACACGGGGAGATGTTACAGGGAGACCCAGGGAGAGGCGGGGAGAGGGGGAGATGCGGCAGGGAGAGGCACGGGGAGACACGGGGAGACATCGGGAGACGCAGGGAAAAACGGGTGGTGGTGATTGTGTGTGATGGTGATTATTGTGGGGAGCGGTAGTGTAGCGGTTGGCGTGCTGCGCTATAAACCGACGACCTGAGTTCAATTCCTGCTCACGGTCAACACCACCACCCGAGACAATAATTTGAACCGGTCCTGGGCCTCTTCTAGGTCGACTCAGCCTCAACTGAGTACCTGGTGCTGTGTGTAAACATCGCCACTGGGGAGACAAAGGCAGCCTGGGCGTGGTGCTGGCCACGCACCCCCTGATGTGCTGTGCCGGCCTTTGTCGGTGCTCGCTAACAGCACTTACCCCTATAGTCTGTTAAGGCTATACGGGGGATCTTTGTCTCTGACAGTGATTGTGTCTGTGGTGTATCTGTGTGTATCTGTGTGTGTGTGTCTGTGTGTGTATCTGTGCATGTATCTGTGTGTGTGTGTCTGTGTGTATCTGTGTGTGTATCTGTGTGTGTGTGTCTGTGTGTGTATCTGTGTGTGTATCTATGTGTGTGTGTCTGTGTGTGTGTGTCTGTGGTGTATCTGTGTGTGTGTGTCTGTGGTGTATTTGTGTGTGTGTGTGTCTGTGTGTGTGTCTGTGTGTGTGTCTGTGCGTGTGTCTGTGTGTGTGTCTGTGTGTGTGTGTCTGTGTGTCTGTGTGTGTGTCTGTGTGTGTGTCTGTGTGTGTTTGTGTGTGTATCTGTGCGTGTATCTGTGTGTCTGCAGGTTTATGATCAGATGCCTGAACCTCGCTGGGTTATCTCCATGGGAAGGTTAGTTTGTGAGTGTGTGTGTGAAAGTTTGTGTGTGTATCTTCGTGTTTTTGTGTGTTCATGGGAACAAGAGTGAGTGAGTAGGTGTGTCTGTGTGGGTGAGTATGTATGGGTGAGTGTATGCGTGGATGTGGGTGAGTGGGTGCCTCAAATATTGGAAGAGGAAGTCACCCCCTGTGAGTGGCTGTCTGAGGTGCCATCTGTTGAGGAAGTACTGAAAGGCATCGGGCAGTGATGATCTCCCAAGCGAAATGCTGAGGGAGGGTGGCGTTTGTGCACTTGCCCTACATGACATCATACCAACAGTCTGGACCGCTGGACGGGTTCCGGAGGACTGGAAGGATGCCCTGGTGGTCTCCATTTTTAAGAAGGGAGACCGCACAGACTGTAACAACTACAGGGGCATCTCACTCCTCAGTGTGCCGGGAAAGGTCCTGGCAAGGATTATTCAACATCGCCTTGCCAGGCACGCTGAGGAGAAGCTTGTGGAGCCCCAATGTGGTTTCAGGAAAGGGCGGTCCTGCACAGATGCCATGTTTTCTGTCCGTTTGCTACAGCAGAGGTGTAGGGAATTCCAACAAGACCTACATCTCTGCTTTATTGACCTGGTCAAGGCCTATGATACCATCAGTAGGCTTGGGCTCTGGGTTGTTCTTCGTGCTTTCGGAGTCCCTGACCCGTTGCTCACGATCATTAAGGACTTTCATGATGGTGAGCAGGCCCGGGTAAAACTACGTGGCCGGAGTCGGAGCCATTCCCTGTTCACTTTGGGGTGCGACAGGGATGTCCTCTGGCTCCAACTGTATTTAACATCTATTTCGACCACATAGTTCGAATTTCCATCTGGTACAGATACAATCGGAGGCTGATCGATGCCCGGGCGCGGTCAAGGGATGGCTCCCTATTGGTCAACCACATTATGTATGCCGATGACCTGGTAATTGCGGCTTACTCAGAGGAGGAGTTGGAGGCGCTGCTGCTGAACCTGGAGCTTGCCACTAAGAGGTGGGGCCTTACCATCAGCCCCACCAAAACGAAGCACCTGCCTGGGTATTTTGTACCATCGGGCACTCCATCCACCCCCAAAGCTCCCAATCGGTGATGGGGCAGTTGTGGAGAGAGTGGAGAGTTTCCCATACCTAGGCAGTGTGCTCATGACCGGCTCCGGTTTAACAGCAGAGGTCTCACTCCGAATCAGTCGAGCGGCATTATCTTTTATCGGTTGCATAACGCTGTGTGGTTGCTACCTGGTCTATCACTCTGCACGAAGCTTCAGGTCGTCTCGGCCACGGTCATTCCCTCCCTTCTCTACGCTTGCGAAACGTGGACACCCCTAATGGAACATCTTCGACGGTTAGAAACATTTAGGCTGGCCTGCCTACGATCCATCCTGGGTTTAACCAGGCTGGATTTTGTAAGGAGCTCACAAATCCTTAAAAGATCTGGGCACATTACCATCAGTGAGCTCCCGCAGGAAAGGCTGCATTGGCTGGGCCATGGAGCATGCATGCCCAGCCAACGCATGCCCAAGCAGCTTCTTTTTGGCTAGATGGAGGGGGCTTAATGGGCACGGCACGGACTGGAGAAGAGATGGAGTGATGCGGTTCGGGAGGATATGAAGCTGTGTGGACTTGCCGAACACTGGTATCAGCGATGTCAAGATCAGCCTCAGTGGAGGAGGCTCGTGAAGGATGCTATTGGTCAGATGGAGGCAGTCGCCCTCCAACAATAACTGAGGGCAGAGGAGCGACGTTCACAACAGCGAGCGGTGTGCCGATGGTGCATCGGCCAGTCATCTCAGTCAGCCAACCCGTGGCACCTGGGCCTGTCCCGTAACCCCCTGCCAGCGGCCATTCGACACTTCACGTGACCTTAACGTGCATATCGCCACTTAGTGGCGAATATCGGTTGTATATATCTATGTTTGTGTGTGTGTGTGTGATTGGTTGTGTATATCTGTATGTATATATCCGTGTGTGTATATGTCTGTGTCTGTGTGTGCTGGTGTAGCTGTGCCAATGGAGGTGGCTACTACCACTACTCTTACTCAGTGGTGCGTGGCTGTGACCGCATCGTCCCCGTTGACATCTACGTGCCCGGTGAGGCTCCTGACACGCACGCACATGCACACAGACGTACGCGCACACACAAAGATCCCCCGTATAGCCCTAGCAGACTGTAGGGGCAAGTGCTGTTAGCGAGCACCTATGAAGGCCGGAACGGTACACGAGGGGGTGGGTGGCCAGTACCACGCCCGACCGCCTTTGTCTCCCTAGTGGCAATGTTTACACACCGCACCAGGTACTCATTTGAGGCTGAGTCGACCTAGAGGAGGCCCGGGACCGTTTCAGATAATCATCACTGGTGTTGGCCGTGAGCGGGAATCTAACCCGTGTCGCCGGGTTCATAGCGCAGCGCGCTAACCGCTACACTACCGCTCCCCACACACACACACACATGTACAAAGACAAAGATCCCTGGTATAGCCTCAACAGACTGTTGGGGCAAGTGCTGTTAGCAAGCAGCACCTATGAAGGCCGGCACGGCACACAAGAGGGTGGGTGGGTGGCCAGCAACCACGCCCGGCCACCTTTGGCGATGTTTACTCACCGACCGGTTCAGATACCACTGGTGTTGGCCGTGAGCAGGAATCGAACGTTCACACACATATACATACGTATACACACAACAACAACAGCAACCGCCATTCGCCACTAAGTGACGGTGACATCACCACGGTGCCTGTGCCAGGCTATGTGCACGTTAAGGCCACGGGAAGTGTCGAACGCCCGCTGGCAGGAGGTCACTGGACCGCCCCTGTTGCCCTGGTTTGCCTGACTGAGATGACTGGCCGATGCACCACCTGTGCCCCATATTGTGCCAACAATGTTCGAACACATGCACGCACACATGCACGCGCACGCACCCACACACACGCACCATAAGCACACACACACACGCGCGCGCGCACCACAAACGCACGCGCACACACGCACACACGCACAAGCGCACACACACATACCACACGCACGCGCGCGCACTCACGGCCGGTCCGCAGCCGATCCCAATACTGAGCTACGTAGCTCTTTTTCAGAAGCCTTGAGCTGGCTACCACCAACCATAGCTCGACCAAGTGGGCATGCGTCTGCGGTGTGCGTGGTGTGTGCGCGTGTGTGCGTATGTGCATGTGGTGTATGTGTGTGTGCACAGTGCGTGCATGTGGTGTGTGCGCGTGGTGTGTGCGTGCGTGTAGTGTGTGCGTGCGTGTGTACGTGTGGTGCGTATGAGTGTCTGGATGTGGGGAGCGGTAGTGTAGTAGCGGTTAGAGTGCTCCATTACGAACCCGGCAAACCGAGTTCGATTCCCGCTCACGGCCAACACCGGTGACGATTATATGAACTAGTCCTGGGCTCCCCTAGGTCGACTCAGCCTCAAATGAGTACCTGGTGTGGTGTGTTAACTTTACTGCTAGGCGGCTGGGCGTGGTGTTGGCCACCCACCCCCTCGTGTGCCGTGCCGGCCTTCATAGGTGCTGCTCGCTAACAGCACTTGCCCCTACAGTCTGTTAAGACTACACGGGGGATCTTTGTCTTTGTTGTGCTCGTGGTCTCCAGGCTGCCCTCCCACAGCGGAGGCTCTCCTCTACGGAGTGCTGCAGTTGCAGAAGAAAATCAAGAGGCAGAAAGTGATCCAGATGTGGTATCGGAAGTAGACAGCCACCACCACCGTCACCACCGTCACCACCGTCACCACCATCAACATCTCCATCGCAACCGCCGCCTCCACCATCGCTGCTACCACCGCCACCACCGCCACCACCGCCACCACCGCCAGGACCACCACTGCCACCGCCACCACCGCCACCAGGACTGCCAGAATCGGCGCGTCTGCTGCTGCTGCTGTGGTTTTGGCTCGCGATTAGCACGATTGGCTACATAGAGGTTCAACGTATAGACATGCAACACACAGACATGCAACACACAGACATGCAACACACAGACATGCAACACACAGACATGCAACATACAGACATGCAACATACATATAACGTAATACTTACAACGTGCATACGTGGCGTCCGCGTGTTCCCCGTGGGTCGAGTGTCGGTTTGTCCGTGTGTCTTGAGTGTGTGTACGAGTGTGTACGTGTGTGCGTCCTTGTGGGGAGCGGTGAGTGGTACGCTGCGCTAAGAACCCGGCCACCCGAGTTCGAATCCCGCTCACGGCCAACACCAGTGATAGAGATTGTCTGAACCTGGTCCTGGGCCTCCCCTAGGTCGACTCAGCCTCAAAATGAGTAGCTGGTGCAGCAGTGGCGTGTGGTAGTAATCATCGTCACCTGGGGGAAAGACAAAGGCGGCCGGGCGTGGTGCTGGCCACCCACCCCCTCGTGTGCCACAGTGCCGGTAGCCTTAATTGGTGCTGCTGGCTGCTCGCTACTCTCAGCCCCTGCCCCAACAGTCTGTTCGAGGCTGCACGGGTGATATTTGTCTGTGTGTGTGTATAGGCACTCGCTACTAGCAACACTTGCCCCAACAGTCTGTTAGAGGCTACACGGGGGATCTTTGTCTTTGCTGTGTGGTGTGGTTTTAGCGTGCTGTTCTTGCCTCGGGTGTAAATCTCTCTCCCCTCTCCTCTCTGCGCGCGCGCACAAAATAAACCACAAACAGCCCCGGGGCGAACGTAAGCTGGACGTTGAGTCGTTATTTGGTCGGTGAGCCCTCTGCTACTCCTTTAAAGGTCTCCCACCACAGCAGACATTGCCCAGCGTGAGGGGGGCAAGTGACGAGAGAGAGAGGTCACGGTAGAGAGATGAGATTGGTTAGATTGGTCGGCCTTCCACCACTAGACGAGTTGGGTTAATGTAACCCTGGGGAGGTAAAGATACAACAAACCACACAAAGACATTCACAAGCCCCCGGTGATTGATTATCTTAAAACAATTTACGTAGCGCTTTACGCGAGGCTCTTTGCACACAATTAACAACGGTTACAGCGTATGAGTGTTATTGGTGATTAACGAGGTGAATGAAATGGATGAGAGGAAGCGATGTGGGACGAATCTGTGATGATGCGTGAATTCGGTGAAAGTGAAAATGATGACAGTAAATGATGACACACGGATTCAATCAGTGGGGTTAATGAGTGATCGCCGTGTGATGAGAATATGAGGAGGGAAAAGTCGCGGTGGTAGTTAGGGGCCGTCCATAAATGACGTCACGCACCTGGGGGGGGGGTCAGACATTTGCGACGATGTGTGACGAGGGGGGGGGGGTTGATGTGATGTCACATCAAAATGCGCAACTTTAAATAAATATAGACAACACGTTCTACTTAATTAAATATACTCTTTAATAAATGTTTTCTCCTACAACATCAGAGTGCAGGGCCACATTAAATACGCACTACAATGACAATAGTTTAAAGCGATTTGAAGCATGTTTTATATTTTTTTTGGGGGGGAGCGCAGAGCTTTGTGACGTCATAGTTGAGGGGGGGGGCTGACTTTTTGTGACGCCGTGTGATGAAGGGGGGGGGGGGGGTGGGGGGTGGTCAAAAATCGTCCAAAATCGCGTGACATCATTTATGGACGGCCCCTTATGTGGGGTGGCGGGGATTAAGGGGGGTCATGGGGCGAGCCAGGGATCAACAAGTGAGTTTGAGTGTAGAGCATAAACTTAGCGAAGGTTGACCACTTAAGTGTGGGGGGGGGGGGTTAGGGAAGTCTGTTCCAGTTCAGGGGGTCGGCGAGAAAAACGTCCGGCCAGCAGCGTGGCATCTTCCGCGCTCTGGTCGGAGCCAGGGTGTGGCTGGAGTTCCGCCATGTGGCGCGGCTGACCCACGCCGTGCCGGCCTTCAAGGAGCAGTGGGCGATGGAGGAGGCCGTGTGCTCGGTGACAGATGACGGGGAGCTCTGCATGCTGTTATGAGCTACCCGTCAGAGGCCGTCGGACTGGGAGAAGGACTGCGTGCAGAACGAGAGAGAGCGAGAGAGAGAGCGAGAAAGTGAGCGAGAGGTGGGGGTTTACATAAAGCAAAGTTATAAAAAAAAGAGTAGGGAGAGCGCGCCAGCATCGATTGCGCGAGAGAAGGAGGTGGAACAGAGAGACGGCGAAGATTGTGAACGTAGAGGGCGAGAAGGCGATGCATAGAACGACACAAGCGTGGCAAGATACGGTGGTGCGACTCCATGAAGGTATTTGTAGACCAGGGTGAGGAAATTTGAACAGGCAAAGGTAGCGGCACGGGGAGCCAATGTGGTGTTGAGGGACGAGGTATAGGAATTCTAGGGGATGGTTGAGTTTGTCACGGTGGGTACCAACTCGGGCATCACTCCGCAATGAACTCCGCCATGGTGAACTATGGTGCAGCCCCACAATGCAGAGCAGTGCAGAGAAACTCAATTCTGTGCTTATGCCAGGTTACAGACAGTAGCGGGGGGAGAGATGTGTGTGGGCCCCCCAACAGGGCCCCACACCTCCTAGAGGGCACAATCCCAACGCAAACGCAGGGCTCTCTAAACCCACTCAGGCCTATAAACCTACGGAATCCCCATGTAACACAGTCTCGGTAGTGGTGAGTTATGCATCTCACCGTTTCACACACAGCACCAAAACCAACTCCACTCTCCACACACACTGTAGAAAGCCCGCAGATATCCCCTGAAGAGCCACACCGCGTATTCGGTCCACGGGACCGGGAAACTAAGCAACCAGCACTGAGGTTTTAGGCGTCACCCCGAGAGGCCTACAGGTAGGCTGGGGGTGGGGGAAGGTCCGGTTGAACCTTGATGTGTACCGTCTTGTCTTACGGTTACTCCGTTATTACCGTCTTAAATTATCTTCTGTAAACACATGCACTCCAAAACAGCAACCGCCATTCGCCACTAAGTGGCGGTGACATCACCACGATGCTTGTGCCAGGCTATGTGCACGTTGAGGCCACTTGAAGTGAATGCCCACTGGCACGAGGTCACAGGGCAGACCCAGGTGCCACGGGTCGACTGATTGAGATGAGTGGCCAATGCACCATCTGCGGCCCCTTCTGTGCCAACTTGCTGTACTTTAGCCACCCGGCGATCCGCTCATTGTTGTGAGCGTCGCTCCTCCGCCCTCCGTTGTTTGAGGGCGACATGCTTCCAACTGACCAGTAGCGTCCTGCACGAGCCTCCTTCACAGAGGCCGATCTTGACACCGCTGGTACAAGTTGTCGGCCAGTCCACTCCGCTCCACATCATCCTGTACCACATCACTCCATCTCTTCTCGAGCCCGTGCCGTGCCTGTTTAGCCCCTTAGATCCGGCCGAACATAAGCTGTTTAGGCACGCGGTGGCTGGGCATGCGGGCTACATGACCCAGCTAACGCAGCCTTGCCTGCCAGAGGAGCTCACCGATGGGACTTTGTCCAGATCTTTCAAGGATTTGTGAGCTCCTCACACAATCCAGCCTGGTTAAACCCAGGATGGGTCGTAGACAGGCCAGCCGAAATTTTTCTAACTGGCGAAGATCTTCCATTAGGGGGGTCCACATTTCGCAAGCGTAGAGAAGGGAGGGAATGACTTTGGCCGAGAAGACCTGAAGCTTCGTGCGGTGCGACAGGCTTGGTAGCTTCTACACAGCGTTACGCAACCGATGAAAAGATAATGCCGCTCGACTGATTCGGAGTGAGACCTCTGCTATCAAACCGGAGCCGGTCATGAGCCCACTGCCCGGGAATGGGAAACTCTCCACTCTTTCCACAACTGCCCGATCAGCAATTTGGAGTTGTGGGGGTGGAGTGTCTGATGGTATAAAACACCCAGGCAGGTGCTTAGTTTTGGTGGAGCTGATGGTAAGGCCCCACCTCTTCGTGGCAACCTCCAGGTTCAGCAGTAGCGCCTGCAACTCCTCAGAGTGAGCAGCAATCACCAGATCATCGGCATACATAAGATGGTTGAGCAATTGGGAGCCATCCTTTGACCACACCTGGGCATCGATCAGCCTCCCATTGTTTATGTACCAGATGGAAATTCCACCGATACAGCTATTGAAGGTTTCACGAGCTACATGGTCGAAATAGATGTAAAATAATGTGGGAGCCAGAGTGCATTCTTGTCGCAACCCAAGGTGAACAGGGAATGGCTCGTAGTTTTTCCCGGGCCTGCTCACCATCATTAAGGTCCTTAATGATCGTGAGCAGAGGGTCAGGGACTCCAAAAGCACGAAGAACAACCCAGAGCCCAGGCCTACTGATGGTATCCTAGGCCTTGACCAGCTCAATAAAGCAGAGATGTAGCGCTTGTTGGAATTCCCGACACCTCTGCTGTAGCTGACGGACAGAAAATATGGCATCTGTGCAGGAACGCCCTTTTCTGAAACCGCATTGGGGCTCCACAAGCCTCTCCTTAACGTCCCTGGCAAGGCAATGTTGAATAATCCTTGCTAGGACCTTTCCCAGCACACTGAGGTGTGAGATGCCCCTGTAGTTGTTACAGTCTGTGCGGTCCCCCTTAAAGAGGCGGACCACCAGGGCATCCTTCCAATCTTGCGGAATCCCTCCAGTGGTCCAGACTGTTGTTATGATGTCATATAGGGCAGTCTGTGCACAAACGCCACCTTCCCTCAGCATTTCGATTAGGAGATCATCTTTGGCCGGTGCCTTTCTGGGTCTCCCACTCTGGATCACATTCAGTACTTCCTCAACAAATGGCACATCACAGGGGGTGACTTCTTCCAATATTTAAGGCACGGCAGCCTCAGCAGGGTCATCTCTACTTTGTCCCATGATGTTTTCCAGGCTGAGGAATTATCCCTCCCCCAGGACCTCAGAAATGCTCAGCGAATCTGCAAACCTATTCCTGGGGTTGGATATTGG